TAACAAATCTAACATAAACTGATGATATAAAACCGCTTCCTATGAATATTGTTGCAAAGTTACTTAAAATATCCAATAAAATAATATGGAGGAAAGGCTATTTCAACATAATAATTTTAACTAATAGATTTTTATTTAGAATAAAAAAAGCACTTATAAAATTTAAACCTCATAATTTAAATTACACATAATATAAAGCAATAGACGATTAAGGTTTATAAATATATATATATATATATATATATATATATATATTTTATAGGTGCATAACTTTATGATACTAAAACATTTAATTTAAAAAGTTAAATTAGACCTTTATATAGAAGCAATTTTAAAATTATAAGAAGGTTATAAATATATAATCTTCTCTTAAGAAAAAAGTTAAAACATTTTATTATGTATTATAATATGATTATTAGCAAAAACATGCAATTGTTTTAAATTATTATAGAACCAATTCCAATTATATCACCTTATAATAATATTTCTATATTTTGTGACTTAATACATTTGATATTTATATTAATAAATATAGTAAAAATACCTTTAGAAATAAGTTTCGATATTTCAATTTAAAGATATAATAATATTGATTTCGCAAGTTAAATAGTGTTTTTATCAAACTTTTTATTAACATTAAATACTGCATATTATTATAACGGAGTATTGGAAAAAACTAGATCTAAAATAATAAAGCATTATTTCTAAAAGAAATTTATATTAGATTTAATCGCCTATTATATGTTATGGTTTGTTCCATTTTAACTATAAATATTTAAAATTACATTTATAATAATAAAATTTTTAAATTATTATTCAATAATAGAAAAAATAACTGATGCTTTTTAACTTTCAAGTAAATATAGTTTTATTATAAGTATTTTCACTCTACTTATTGAAGTTGTATTTCTTTGTCATGTTTTTGCTTGTATGTGGCATGGTTAAGCTTAAATTTAAATTCAGAATGGATCTTTGGATACTTGGCTACATAAATAATAAATTACTGAATCATCTGTATATACTAGATATGTTTACTCTATTTATTTTTCAGCTATTACTATTGGAACTGTTGGATATGGTGATATTACTCCTAATAACGATTTAGAAAGGCTTTTTATTTCTTGTGTTGCTATTATATCATCAGGTATATTTGCTTATATTTTAAGTAATATTTAAAATGTTTTTCGAGAATATAGAGAAAAATAAGAAGATTATAGATTATAATTAATAGATATGAATACTTATATGATGAATAGGGAAGTTAACCCCTAATTATAATAAATGGCTAGAAAATATCTGGAATATGTAAATGCTTAAGGTTATAACCATAAATATATCCCATCCGATTCTTTAAACAATCTAAGTCAAATCCTTAAGAAAGAAATAACCCAAGAAATATTCTTAAGATCAATCTAAAAAATTCCTTTCTTTTAAAAAAATTTTAGTGAAAAGTTGTAAAAAGCTATATCTGATAAAATGTAAGAAATAAGTTACGGTAATTAAAAGTAATAAATAAATTTATTTATAAATTACTTAAAGGTCCAGATGAAGTTATATAAAAAAATGAAGCACAAATTCCTAGATTATATATAATATTAAAAGGATAAGTAGAACTCTATGTAGATAATTATAAAGCATTAATAATTCTATTAATAAAAGTAAATCGTTTAAGATTTTAAAGAAAGATTAGATATTTAATTTATATGATTTTGTTTCTTAAAATTATAATCCATATATTAGTGCTAGAAGTATAGGTGTTAGTACTGTACATTATATCTAATTAGATGACTTTTTAGAAACATTATAATAATTTTCGGAAGATAAGGAGATATATAATAATTTAAAAGATAGACTAATTTTACATAAAAATTAAATTAAATTAAAGGAATATTGCTTATCATGTAAAAGTGATCATCATTAAATAAAAGATTGTCCATTATTTTTTTATAAACCAAATTTACAAAAAATAATAAAAACTTATCTAAATAAAGAAAAAGAATTTCGATAAATATTTTAAAGAAATAAAAATAGGAAAAAATCTAAGTCTCTTATAGAAATGTAATAATTAAATTTCTATTATCAATAACAAAAGTAATATTTTAATGATTTATATTAATTTATGACTGAATATATAAAATGTGATAATCAAAAAGAAGATGAAAAAAATGCTTTTACTTCTACTATGAATAGTTTAGATATTATTAAAAGTTATGAATAATTTAATGATTATTAAGATAATTTAAAAGAAGATGATAAGAATGAAGTTTTTTATAAAAAAAGCTAATTAAATGATACAAAATCAATAAAATAAGCAGAAATTGTTATAAACAAAAAGCACATAGAATTACTGGAATAATAAAGAAATAAGCATGAAATAATCTCTTTTGATAAAAGAAAGATTGATAGAACATACGATTCTAAATATAATAAATAAAATATTGAATAAATGTTTTTTTAACTACATGATTAAGAGGATTAAAAAGAAAAAAATATTTAGATTTAAAATGATAAAAAAGATTAAAGTCATATATTTGATGTTTTTAGGATTTTCAAAGTTTATATGACTCATAATAATGCCGATAAAATTATTATGAATTATAATGGATATTTATCGTTTTAAAAAAACAAAAAAAAATAATAAGTTTGAATTAAATGTTTTTGCTTTTTTTTTTTTTAGTTTTTATTTAGAAAAAAAAAAAATTAAAAAAGAATTATATATACAAAAAAAAAAAGTAAATTAAAAATATATATTAATACATTTTTATTTTTTAATAAATATAACATATATATATATATATATATTTATTTTTATTAAATTCATATTTATAATATTTATTATTCCAAATTTTATTAGTTTGTTATTTTTTCCTATATTTTTTTCATTACTTTTTCATGATCAGTAGGATCTATTTTTCTTTTTAATTTTTAGAATCCATAAACAGGAATCCAGCATAATATTACAATAGCAATTATATATCCTATAAATTTCAATTACCAAATACTATTTATATCAAATTACTCTTACATAAAAATTAATATTGTAATATAGAATAAAATCGAAATACAGTTTAATAAAATAATTTCCCATTTTATTTTATAAACCTAATAATTAATATAATAAATATTAATTATTTTATTATATATATTTTTTTTTTTACATGAGTAAAAATAAATAGATATTCCAATATAATTAAAATCACAAAAACAATTATTTCTAAATATAAAAAGTACTATTAACTCAAGAAAATACAAGATAACAAAATCAATATTGAAGACTTTTAAAATAAATATTTATGAAATAAGCAAATATATATTTTACTTAAAATACAGCTATCCAAATCCAAGAAAGCAAGGCTTTTAAATTAAGTTCTTTATTTTTTGCTAAAACTTTATAAAATTAAGGATTTTCAATTGATGTTTGTAACTTTTTGTTAAAAATAAATATAAAAATACAATTTAAAATATATTTACATTGGCATCTTAATCAAATATAATAGAAAAAACAGGCAAAATATTAAAAATGGTAGCATAACTAACAATTAACTTATCATTAAGTGCAGATATTTGAACATTTTAAAACATACAAATAAAAATCATTTAAATAAATGATATAATTAATCCTCGTTATAAAATAAACTAAGTAATCATTGCACTTTTAGTATAAATTAATCTTCCATGCCATAATAATAATTAATTTAAATCGGAAAATTTATTTATTTAAAAATCAGCATTTAAAGCAGCTTAGCATTTGTTTCCTTTATTAATACCTTTAAATATATGAAATAAATATAAGTAATAATATATAAAATAAAAACCTATTCCTATATCTGCATTTTAAATCATTTTAATATCATTATCTCCATCTCCTATTGCTGCAATTTTTACATTTGAGTATTTTTTTATAGAATCAATAATTTATTTTTTTAACAAAGATGAGCATCTTAAAAAAAAATATAGTAATTTATATATTGATATTTTTTATTTTATTTTTTTTTAAAAAAATACTTAGCAAATATAACACATTATGCATTCAAACATATTTCAACAAATTTCTATTCGTATTCTTCTAAAGCAACTTTAAGTGATTATCCATCAATAGCTAATATTTGTTATTTATTATTATCACTCTAAAAATATTAAAGTTTAGCTTTTATATCTATATCATCATATACATTTTGAATTCTTTGAAATATTTAATTCTTACCTCTTATACCACTCGCAGTTGCTACAAAAGTAGCATTTTCAATTTTATCGCCTTTTATTTAATTTTTTATTCATTTTATTTTATTTTAAATCAAAAAAAATACCTGTTAACATCCATAATTTAATTCCTGCATTTTTAAAATTTGTTATTGTTTAAATTATATTTTCTTACAAACTTTCGTCTAGTCCTACAACTCCTAAATATTCCATTTGCTTTTCAATTTATTCTCTTAATTTTTTAAGTGCATGATTTCTATTTTATTATAATTATTAAGCTTATTAATACCTTTATTTTAAAAATATAAATATAATTTTAAAAATAATAAAAACTATTATATCCAATGTATAATAAAATTCTTATCAAATGTCCTTTAACTAAAAGCTAATGTTCTAAGACCTAAATTTGTTAGTTCATTTGCTTGATTTTCACATAAAATAGATTAAGCTTTATCATTTATGTATTACTTTATTATATTATCATCTCCTTTTAAATAAAATATTATTTTGTTTTAATTTTCAACTATTATTCCCATTCTTCGGTTTTCTTCAGTAAAATCTAATACATGTAAAACTTGAAAATCTTCTTGAATATTATTTTATTCATTCTAAATACTTATGCTTATAATTTAAGCATTTCTATAAGTTAAACTTATTCCTAAATTATTTGCAAATTCTACTAAAGAAACTTTTTAAAATTTATTAATATTTTATAGTTTTATATCTATATATTTTTTAAAGATAATATACTTTCATCTGGACTATTTCCTTAATAAACTTTTTTTTCTTAGTCTAATATGACACTGTTACATATTGCCAAAGCTTTTATTAAGTCAAAAGATTTACTTTATTAATTTCTTGGCTTTTTATATATAGAAAAAATAATTTAAAAGAAAAATTATTTATATATAATTAATAAAATACTTTCTATTCTATTTAAAATATATTATTTTAATTCATACTTTAAGTGATTGAATGCTTTAATGATGTAATTTAATTATCAGTATATATTTAATTATCTACATATACATATTTTATTTTTAATTCATCTTAAGTTAATGTCCCTGTTTTATCACATAATAAGTATTATATTTTGCCTAAATCTTCATTTATAAACTTTTTTATTATTAAATAATTAAAATATTATTTTATTTATTAAATTTTTATAAAAATACGCTATTCTAAGTTATAACTCCTTCAATATCTTTAGAACAATTTATTTTAAATATATATATTATTTTGGCTATATCTAAATTTATTTTCAAACTTATAGGGATTATAGAACTAAGTAAAATGAAAGTTCTATTTAAAATTATTATTATTAAAAATATAAACTATAATGATTTGTTAAAAACCTAACAAATTCAAATAATGATTATGAATAAACATAAAAATCGAAATTTCCTTAAATTAAACTTACAAGTATAGTAATTAAAAGAATATAAAAAAAACATAAAAGAAAATATAATTAATTTCAGAGTTAAATTTGCTAAACTTACTTTTCAAAAATTACTAGTTTTTAAATATTTTTCTATTAATCCCTACATTTATAATAATCCCTTTTTAAAATAAAAAAATCGTTATAAAAAAAATGAATAAATATTTATAAAAAGACCTAATATTTCGTTTGAATGTAAAATAGAATTATACCAAACAACATTTTAAGCATTTAAACTTTATTTTATTATCTCACCATCATGTTATATAATTTTAAAACTACCTTCAAATTTGTCTAAAAGTTCATTATTTTCGTTTTTTATTTTAATAAAAGCATCTAAATAATTAAAATTAAAATTATCATAATTATCTTAATTAATTTAAATTTATTGTTAAAAATAAGTTATTGGAACTTTATTTATATAATCAGTTTATCCACTAATAAATTAAGTAGAAATTACACATTAAGAATTTTAGTTTCTTTTTTTTTTATAGATAAAAATATAATTTATTTCTATAAAAAAATTACTTTGTGTATAAAAGTACTATATCGCAAGGTAATCTTTATTAAAATTAAATTTTAATTATTTATCCGATTTATAATTCGTTTAATTATTTTTATATAAATTAGCCATTCTCTTCTAATACCTGAAAAGTTTCATTATTAGAATTTTACTATTTTTTCTATTAAATCTAGATATCTCATCGTAACCTATTTTTAATATTTATTTATTTTTATTTCTTTTTATAAATACATTCTTATATAATATTTATTAAAAATGCCATAACAAATGGAACTAAGTATGTATATAATTAAGAAATAATTAAATCTTCAAATAATTAAGAAATGGATATAAATAAAATGTAATAATTATAAACAAACTAAAATTAGTTTAATAAAATTTTAGGAAGAAAATTAAGAAAAGTGTATTTTTAAACTTAAATAATATTCTAATTGCTTTTTTAAACGAATTATTTTCCATTTTAATATAAATTTCCATTAAAATAAATTTTTCGTTTTTATATTTATTGCTTTTTGAATAATTATATAAAAGTACTATATAAATAAGTAATCTTTGTTTATTTATTTTATAATAATTATTCATTAATTTAATTATTGTCATAACTATAATTAGAATCCGTAATTTACTTTTAGTGTGAATATATCATAAAAAATTATAAAAATTTTAAAATGAATATATAAAATAATTATAAATAATAATAATTTTTCTTAAATTATAAATAATTAATATAAAAATTAAATTAATTATAATTTATATTTTATATTTTTAATATATAATTATTGCGGATATAATAATAAAATTATAATAGAATTATAAAAAAAGAAAAAATAAAAAATAAAAATAATAAATAATATATAAATAAATATGAATAGATATATATTTATATATTTATATATTTATATATTTATTTTTTATTTATATAAATATATTTTCTTATTTAATTACATAAAATATTTCTATTAAAATGTTAATAATATTTATTTATTTATTATAATTCATTAAATAAAAATCATAAAAATATTTAATATTTTATATATTATTTTCTACATTGTATCTATCTCTTTTATTTATATTAATTTTTAATTTTTTTTTCTATAATCTAATTTATTATATTATATATTATTTTTTTCAAATTCTTTATGAATGTTGAATATATATAAATTTATAAAAATTATAAATATTTTTTATTTAATAAATAATTGAATATTTTTTTTATATTATTCAATATAGTTTTTCTTTATTTTATATATATTTTTTTATTCTTAATAATAATATACTTTTATAAATTTTTACTTAATTTATCTATATACTTTAATTGAATATTAAAAAAAAAATATAAATGTTATTAATTGCATATATCTTATTATTTTTATAATATAAAAATTTAATAAATTATTAATTAATATTAATATTAAATAAAAAATGATTTTATTAAATATATAATTTTTCTTAATTTTATATTTTATTATAATAATTATAAATCTTTTTTGATGAATCAATTATTTTTCTAATAGATAAAAAATATTTAAAAATAATATAATAATTATATTTTAAATCTTTATATATTTTATATTTATTATAAACACCAAAAAAAATGTAAAATATAAAAACGTATAATGAAGTTGAAATAAAGCAATAAGAAATTAATAGATTAGTATAATTACTGAACACATAGAAAATCTTTACTGATTAATTAAAATAAAAAATCCATTCATAATCTATAATTATTGAATAATAAGAAAAATAAATATATAATTAGATAGAATAAATAAACAAATATAAAAAGCAAAATTAATTATTTCTAAAGGAAAATATGTTTTTGAAGTAATTTATAATTAATATAGAAAAGGAAAATTAATTTTTAAAAACTTTGAATAAATAAAATCCTTATAAAGATAAAAAAGTTATTTTAAATAAAATTTATTCTGATATTATTACTGAGTAAATAAAATAGCATGAAAATAAAGAAGAATTATTAAATTATAATTTAAATGAAAATAATTTAAAAATTTAATAGAAATATATAACTGTATTTAATAATTAATTATATTCATTTATTAACTATATATTGTTTTGTATAATTAAAAAGGGGTGTGAAATATTTAAAACTAATAATAAATTATAAAAATTAGAATATTAAGATAATAATTAAGTGCCTTATAAAGAAAATAAAAATTCAATAACAAATATTATTTAAGAAGAGTTAATTCTTACTAAGCATATATCTATTTCTGATGAAGACTATTGTGGTAATAATCAAAAACTATAAAATTTAATTGACAGTTAATCACAGTTAAATGAAAATAAAACTCGACATTATACAAATGATATTCAATTTTAAGATATTTAATATAAAATTAATGATATTAATTCTTCTAAAATTTAATTTTAAATAAATAGTATTAATTCTTCTTCTGATAATTCTGTTTAGCAAGGTTTTTTTTTTCTTATTATAATTATTATTTTTAAAATCAAATAAAAGACGAGGATAGAATATTTTCTAATATATGTGAATTTAACGATCCTATATAAAATTGTAAAACAAAAAAAATAAACAAAATATTAAAATATAATAAAGTAAAGGCAAAATCTGTAAAAAAAATGTAAAATATTGGAAATTTAAATGGTTTATAAATCAAATGTTAATATTATTTATAAGATAAAAGTGAAAATATTAATATGGAATAAATAAAAAGTGTTATTTTATCAAAATATTAAAACCCGAAGGTTAATTTATTTGAGAAGTTTTATATTTTTTCTGGAAATGCAGAATAAGCTTAATAAATATAAATAGAAAATAAATAAATAAAGTATAAATAATAATAATGATATATTAATTATTTTATAAAAATTAAAAGTGTTGACCCTTAAGTGATATACAGTTATAATACTCAAAAAAATGATATAATATAATCTATATTATTATAATTAGCATTTTCAAATGGTATAACTGTAAATAAATAAAGAAAAACATAGTCATTAAGTAATTTAGAAGCGTATAAAATAAATAAAATATAAATTTTATCATATTTTTTTTTTTGAAGAATAATTTACTAAGGATAAAACATTGATAAAAATAAAGATTATTTTGTCTTTACAATTAAAAGTGATTAATCTTTTATAAAAAATAATTCTAATATAAATAATTATGATTAAATTTAAGCTGCAAATCCAAACTAACTATTATATTGTATATGTATAAAAACTAATAATTTTCTAAATTAAAATATTTAAAATAATATAAGTAATTATTTTTTATAATGAATAAAAAAATATATATATAAATAAATAAATAAATAAATAAATAAATAAATATATAAATATATATATATTATATTTTATACTTATATATATTATAATAAATTTATATTTTTATATTTTTTTGATTAAATTATTTACAATTATTTTTTCTTTTTATTAGAATTAATTAAATCCAGATAAATTGAATATTATTATTAAATGGATGTAGTATATTGCTTTGTTACGAAATTTCCTTAAATTAATTTTTTTTTTAAATTATTATTATCAATAATTAGTATTTTAAAAATAAATTATAAATATTTTATAAATATGTATAATAAGATTCTATAAAATTAAAAAAACTTAATAAATTTAATGAAAACTAATTTTAATTTGATTAAATTGATATGTATTCTTTTAAGGTATTATTTACTTTAATGTAAATATTTTATTATTATTTTAACATTATTAAATATATATAATTAATAAATTTATAGTTGATTTAAGAAGAAATGGAATTTAAATTGAATGAACTATTATAAATAAATTTCTAAAATTATGGGCAATAAATATAATTTAAATTTTTATTAGAAGAATAAATAGAATTAAATATTCCAACAATAAAAAATATATAAAATATGGAATCTTAATGGGGTATAGTATAAGTATTGTATTTAATAAAAGATATAAAACAATATTTATACATTTACTTATCAATACTATTAGAAAACTCTATTATATTTTTTTGTGAAAATAGAACTTTATTATCAAAAACAATGCAATATTTATTTTTTTAAAAACATTATTTATCTTATTTATTTTTTTAAACAAAAAAAAAAAATAATAGATTAATATTTTAGTCATTAATAAAACCTTTGAAATGGCCCCATCCGTTAATTTTTGATTTACCTTAAAGCTTTTATAGCATGTTAGATTCTCCTGTACCTACTATAATAGGAATAAATAAACCTTTGAATTAATTAATAAATGAAAATATTTTAATTAATTATAATCATTTTATATATGTTTGTTTAGATAAAATGCATATCATAGAATCTGAACAAAAAGTAAATACTAATAATATTATTTATTTAAATTTTAAATAATAATATTATAGAAAATAAAAAACCTCGAATTTTATAAATTAATGATTAATGAACTTGAAGACAACTTTAATTAATTTATTTAAAAAGTTTAACTTTTTGGAGAAGAAAATTTGAATCATATTGATAGTTTTGAAAATGATTTAGAATAATCTGCTTTCGATATTATTAATTAAACAAGAGAGTTTTTAAATATTAATGTTATTAATTTAATACCTAAATAACCTATATATAAATTAAATGAATTTAAAGTAAAAAATATTGATTATGATGCTATATGCAAACAAATAGATATTGAAAAAGGATATAAAGATTAATTTATTAAATATTTATTCAAAACTTAGAATTTTATTTATTTTTTAGAAGAGTTTTATGGAATATGAATTATTTTTATTAAATATTAGTTTTTCAAATTAAATTAAACAAAAATATTTAATTTTTTTTACAAATAAAAAATACAAACAAATTTTTTAATATTTAATTAAATATATTATATTTTTTTTTTATTTTATCTTTTAAATTATTTTTTATAAAAATCTAATATATAAATTTTAAATAAAATATATTTTTTTGGCTAATTTTAGCTCCTTTATAAATTAAAAAATTAAAAATTTATGAATTATCTAAAAAGGCAGCCTAAATAAAATATGTATTTCCTTCATTTCTTATTATTTAATTTATAAATTTTAATTATATTAAAAAAATATGACTTTGGGCTATTAATTTTTTTTTTTAAATTTATATATATATATAGTACACTAATTTTTTCATTAATTATATACAAATCATTATTTCTTTTTGATTCTAAAGTGTTATCTGAAATATT